GCGACACGTTCGGTGTAGGCTGGCTGAAGCACTAACCATACAGTATATAGATGTGCCAGTTCATACATCGAAAGGGGCGCAAGCTGAGTGTTCTGTCCCGGCTCCCAGCGCTTCGGCTCTGTGAGGCTGAGACACTCGGGTCGGGAGCCAGGCCATTCGGGTCGGGAGCTGGGCCGTTCGGCATGTATGACTCATGTCGGGAAGCGAAAGCAAGCTGAGAATTGCAAATGTATGTGTGTAAACAGACACGACAAAATTTTGTATCAATTCTTATTTTCCGAAACCGTTTTGAGTTTCGTTTCCAGGTTACGTAAATGTGTGTGTGCCATGTATTCACACATACTGTGCTTGTGTGTGGGCTCTACAATTGTTGGCCGCTTGAATTGGTTGTTCGTTTTGTTTTGAGGGCTGATGTGATGTAGCGACCTATTCAGGGCCGCATCAACCCTCAACCGGGCCCTGGGCAACCATCAATCTGGGGCCCTCCTTTATTTTGTATTTTTCTCAGTGGCCATTATATTTTGTATTCATTATTTGGAGTTTTGTTTTTTCAACAAAATTTTTCTGTTATTTCTAGGAGGGCCCTAGGCAACTGCTAATCCGGCCCTGGACCTATTCCCGTCGTAAGACTTCATATTTTCTTGGTGTGTTCTGTCGCTCGACTCGACGCGGGTTGAGGCATTGACGAAGCCGTTCATAAAATATTTTTTCGTTTTGTTTTGAAAAGCTGTTGTTGCGACGGGCGCGTGGTGTATTTCTTCCATTCTCCTTTCGGCTTGCCTTTGCCTCTGCTTTCGGCTTCGTCAATGCCTCGACCCGACCCGCGTCGAGTCGAGCGACAGAACACACCAAGAAAATATGAAGTCTTACGACGGGAATAGGTCCAGGGCCGGATTAGCAGTTGCCTAGGGCCCTCCTAGAAATAACAGAAAAATGTTGTTGAAAAAACAAAACTCCAAAAAATGAATAAAAAATATAATAGCCACTGATAAAAATACAAATTAATAAAGCAAACATTAAATTTATAAGTTTTTATTTCAAATGAAAGAAGAAGGAACTGGCGTGAAAAAATGGAGGGCCCCAGATTGATGGTTGCCCAGGGCCCGGTTGAGGGTTGATCCGGCCCTGAAAAGGTCGCTACATCACATCAGCCCTCAAAACAAAACGAACAACCAATTCAAGCGGACAACAATTGTAGAGCCCACACACAAGCACAGTATGTGTGAATACATGGCACACACACATTTACGTAACCTGGAAACGAAGCTCAAAACGGTTTCGGAAAATAAGAATTGATACAAAATTTTGTCGTGTCCCTGTAGTACTGGGCACTAGTTCGGTGGTGGTGATATGACCCGTCCCTAACAGACCACCACTACCCACTGGACACACCCTAAGCAATGCTATTCTTCATTTCCATTTTTACCCACAATGTCATAGGGCATGGGGACCAGCGACACCACATCGTTTACCCCCGAACTAGTGAAATGGGTACTCTTCTGGTGGTTGACGATTTGGGTACCCATACAATGGGTAGTGAAATGGGTACCCATCTGGTAGGTAGTGAAATGGGTACCCATATAAGGGGTAGTGAAAGGAAACAAGGAACATAATTAGAAAAGCTCGTGCAGTTGACAATTTCACTTATTTTATTTGTCTAATTTCCTTATGAGTTATTATTATCTATTATTTTGTTGTTGTTATTGTTGCTTATATTTTTAAAATGTCGTTTTTTTTGCAGCTGAAGAGCTTTTCTTAGTTGTATTTCCGCTGATCCAGTCTCTGCCTCTACAGTTATAGCATCTATAAATATAAAAATCAAATAAATATTAATGGGCAGGAAATTAGAAAGACAAACAGATATGCATACCAAGCAAAACTCCATAAAAATTCTTAAGATCTTTCAGCGCCGACTTGCCTTGCACTCCATCCACGTTATAGGCTAACACAACGGCATTAGCAAGAATATTTTTAAAATTTTTTAAAATACCGCTTGGCAGGAGAATCGTTTTTATTGCATCAATCTGTGAAAATACAATAAGAATAAACAATAACATTTTGATTTACATCATACTTACGTATAAATCTCTGTTTGAGCTGTTTATATCTTTGTCCATCTGTACCAGTCCCTGGACAGATAGTACCTCAACTTTTTCTGTTTCACTGGACGACACTGTCTCTGCCCTCACTAGTTTTAGTTTGTTAGCATATTTATCGCTAGTTTCCTTCCTAAGTCTACGTAAATGCCGCCTGCTGTACATATTTAATTAAAGTTGCTTTGTCTTACCTTTTTTTAAATAATTGATTTGATAAATGTTCACTTTTTTCACTGGAACTCACAAGCGCGTCTCAACAAATTCAGCCGAAAGAAATAGAACATTCCAGCAATGCAATGTCAAAAACTGAAAACGAAGCAGCGCTCTGCTCCGCAGAAGCAGCGCAGCTTCATTTTTGGCTACTTTCTTACTTCTTTTGTTTCGTTTTTTTTCGTTTCTTTCATCTACTGGTGAGACGTTGCAGCCCCATCGAACTAGTTCGCTGGGTGGTACGCGGTGGGTTGTAAAGTATACAGAGTAAGATTATTTTCTACTCTTTGAGTGGTTCCGCGTTCGCTTACCATAGGGTTACTTCGGTGGGTACCCATGTACGGACCAGAGTAGTAGGTAGTTCGGCAGGGTCAATCGCCACCGCCAGTACTACAGACGTCTGTTTACACACATACATTTGCAATTCTCAGCTTGCTTTCGCTTCCCGACATGAGTCATACATGCCGAACGGCCCAGCTCCCGACCCGAATGGCCTGGCTCCCGACCCGAGTGTCTCAGCCTCACAGAGCCGAAGCGCTGGGAGCCGGGACAGAACACTCAGCTTGCGCCCCTTTCGATGTATGAACTGGCACATCTATATACTGTATGGTTAGTGGTTTAACTTTTTCATTTTCCGCTGTGGACCAAAATGACTTTTTCTTAAAGATTTCGGGACTAACAAATTTATATGGTATTATGTTTTTTTTATGGTTTAGTTTTGTTTTTAAAGCCTAGTACTCAGATCGAAACGAGAAGGAACGTGCGAGTCGCTTCTGGCCACGCGACTCTACTTATACCCGTACTCAGTCAGTATATACATTTTTGAGGTTATGATTTTTTAGAATTTTAGAATTAAATTTTTGCTACATCTGTTATCTACATCTACATATATTATGTTTATTCTACATCTAACATGTAGATTATACATGTACCATTTAGATTCTACATCTTCTCCGCTAAGGGTTGCTCGCGCACTGAACGCGGCAGAGTGTGCGAGCGAGAAAGAAAATGAGTTGTGTTGTCATGGGCAGGAGGGGGCAGGGGAAGCGACTGAAAATTAATTTCTTAATTCCGGCTATAATTATGATCCGATCTAATTTAGATTCGGCAATATCGTAGATATGGGCATTCCCTACGATACTGCGTTTTTAGTTTTATCGTATCTTTAAAAATGAGCCTGCCACAGATTTTCGTTTTATATGTGGGCGGAAGGGGCCGGGGCGAAATTTTGAAATACACTTGTAGCAGTGTGATATCACATGAGTCTGGAAACCAAATTTGGTTGCCCTAGCTCTTATAGTCTCTGAGATCTAGGCGCTCAACAAGACGGACAGACAGACAGACGGACAGACAGACATGGCTATATCGACTCGGCTATTGATGCTGATCAAGAATATATATACTTTATGGGGTCGGAAACGCCCCGTACCCTCCCTTTACCACATCATATCCCCACTCTTTTTTGGTCGGGTATAAAAAACCCCCGACCGGTTGTTTCGTATGAACCGTAAATTTTTTACGCAAAAACTGTTTTTTGGGTCAGATCAAAAAACAAAAGGTCGGTATATACTGGAAAAGTATCAGAAGTATTTGTTTTTTTTTTCGAAAAATATATTAATTTGATATCTTTTGCCAGCAAACACGAAGCAAACATTGCAATAAGAGAACAAAAAACCAAATGAAATATTTTAATAATGAAGACAAATAGAATCTAATTAATGCAGCATTATATAAAGGACAGTTATATGGATATTATAATTTATTATTTTTATTAATTTTCATAAATATAAAACAAATATTGTTTTCAAAACAGTTTGTCTTCACGGTGTCCGGCACGAGAGGCGTCGCCATCTGCTGTTACTGATAGTCAGACACATTACCTTGCCAATAAAATATTGGGGAGCCCAGGATATGCCTGGGGAAGAGCGGCCCCAGCCGAAGAAGTGCATTTTGTTAACTTTAAACAAAACCAAGCAGCGGTCTGAGCAGTGTAACCGCTCGGAATGCAGTGCACACCTCTGGTCACACCACTGGTCGCTCGAAAAATATATGACATCTGTTTGCTAGCAAACAGTTTTTCGATCTGAGGACTAGGCTTTAGAATTTTTACAATCTGGTATTTTTTTCATGTATTTTTTTCAGAGGTAGTGCTTCTATTATTCACATAACTTAAGTGAAAAGCTGACAAATGCAGCTATAAATCTGACCAGACAATCTGTAGCTGCAGCTTAACGCCTGGAAGATATTAAGCGCAAATTAAAATTTCATAATTTTTTTCAGTATTTTTGTACGAAATTTTTAATTTAAAAACTCAGGAAAAGTCGAAAAAAAAATATTCTTGGCATGCATTTTTGGTTTAAGATAAACGCATTAATTAGGCGTCGCTTAAGGTATTGTTAGATGGATAAACGGCCAAGTTACAGCCGTTTGACCAAAACGACTCAAAACTCATTTCACCTGAAAAAATACCGTCCGGTACGTTGCTGGTCCAACTGCCTGTAATTTTGGTTTTACCGGTCCTATGTATGGATATATCTCGGATATATAACCTACCTGAAAAATCCGGAATGTTTTTCCCGGAACGATAATGTGGGGATGACGCCGGTCCAGCAGCTCTAGGTGGTTGTTCCGAAAACGGTGGTATGCGGTGTCAGCGAAATTAAACAAAGCAGCAGCCGTTAAATTAAAATCCATTTAATGCACTGGCGAAGCGATTGGCCGGGAGTTGAGGATGGCCTCTACCTCGACCAGGTGGGTGCTGAGCTCGTCCGCGGTGAGCTTGGCGTTGCCAACTCCGCGTATCAGCCGTTGTTTGGCTGCCTTGACTGCCGCCTCCCAAAGCCCTCCGAAGTGCGGTGCTCTCGGTGGTATGAAACACCACTCGACGCCGTGCTGTGCTGCGTACGTCCTGAGCCGATCCTGATCCCTCTGAAATGCTGCGTGAAGCTCTTCCATCACTCGGCTCGCGCCCACGAAGTTGGTGGCGTTGTCGCTGTAGACCTTCTCCGGAAGGCCTCTCCTCCCGACGAACCTTTTGAAAACACACAAAAAACTATCAGTTGATAGGTCGACTACTAATTCGAGGTGAACAGCCTTTGAAGCGAAGCACACGAACACGGCTACATAGGTCTTAATGGGGGGCCTGCCTCGAATTTTGAGGGTCACCTGAAACGGACCGCAGAAATCTACCCCACAAATCAGAAAGGGGCGAGCTCTTCGCACTCGGTCAGCTGGCAGGTTTCCCATGATCTGTCCCATAAGGATGGGCTTGTATCGGAAACAGTGCACACAATTCCTCACGATTCTTGTGCATGCTTCTCGGGCGTTCAATAGCCAAATCTGCTGCCTTAGAAGGGAAACCATTACTTTTGCACCTGCATGATAATGAGCACGATGCAAATGGCGTAGAAACAGTATCACGAACTGCGACTTTTGCGACAGCAGTAGAGGAAACTTCGCATCGTATGGAATTTCTGCGTGCAGCAATCTTCCCCCAACACGAATCAGTCGGAAGGTGACTCCGCCGAGTTCGCTCGTGTGTATGAACGGGCTGAGTCGTTGAAGATGTGGAGACAAAATTTCCGACCTATCCAGTTTGAGGAATTCCGATCCAAGCTCACATCTTTGGACTACCTTTACCAGCCTAAGAAATGAGACCTTCAGCTCCTTAGCTGACACAACCACATCTTGACTGCGATTGCCACCTTGAATGAACCGATTCACATACGCCATGATCCGAAGCAACTTCTGAAACGACGAGCATCTTCCAATCAGCTCGATGACCTCATTAGTCTGACCCTTTGCCACAGAATGTGCTGCCACACTTTTCTTATCTTCTGACTTTTCCATTTCTGGAGACAACTCAACCTGATGAAGAAGCGGCCAATTCTCAGGACCACTAAGAAGAAAATGCGGCCCATTAGTCCACAATGAGCACATTACACCATCTACATCTGTTCCACGGGACACTAAGTCTGCTGGGTTTTGATCGGTGGGAACGTGACGCCAAATCACACCACTGGACAACTCCTGGATTTCAGCAACCCTATTGGCCACAAACGTTGCTAGTGTGGCTGGGTCCCTTTCCAGCCAATACAAGGTGACCTGGGAGTCCGACCAAAAGTTCACGCTTTCAATTACCAACTTATCTAGCAGCAGTCGAACTTGAGACCATAGCGTGGATAGAAGAAGCGCTGCACACAATTCGAGTCGTGGAATTGATTTCGTTTTAAGAGGCGATACTCGGGACTTTGCTGTAAGAAGTCGGGATAAAACATTTTTATCGTCCTTGGTACGAACGTATATACAACATCCGTACGCATCACCTGATGCGTCAGCGAATCCGTGTATTTGGATAGTGGAATTATTGGCAAGACCGATAAAGCGAAGTATAGAGATTTTTCCAAGTCGAATAAATTCTGCTTGAACCTGTTCCAACTCGTATGCAGACTCATGGGAACTGACTCGTCCCAATCCAACTTTTGCCTCCACAGATGCTGCAGCAAGATCTTTGCCCTGGTAATTAAGGGACATAGTAACCCTAATGGGTCGAACAATCGCGAAGCAACTGACAATATGTTGCGCTTCGTAGGGGGTAATGAATCAAAGGAGTCGTCCAGCTGATAGTGAAACAAATCAGTTTGCGGATTCCAACGAATTCCGAGTGTTTTAATGGAAGCGGAAGGGTCAAACTGAAGAGACTTTTCCTGGCCACTATCGGACAGCAGATGGGGATGATTTGACGCCCATTTGGCCAACATGAAACCCCCCGCTTCCAGGACCTCACTCACTTCCTGCCGAATTCTTCCCAGTTCTTCCAGACTATTTGCTCCTGTCAGCATATCATCAACGTAAAAGTCATTTGCTATGACTTGCGAGGCCACAGGATGGGACTTAGCATAGACTTTTGCTAGCTCAACGAGACAGCGGATGGCCAGAAATGGAGCTGAAGCTGTCCCATACGTGACCGTATTCAGGCGATAAGTTTGCACGTCAATATTTGCTTTCTCCCTCCAAAGAATCAATTGGAAATTTCGATCTTCTTCAGCAACCTGCACTTGCCTATACATCTTGGAGGTATCCGCTGTAAGGGCAAAACGGTTTAATCGAAATCGTGCAAAAGTTGCAAAAAGCTCCCTCTGAATAGTGGCTCCCACCATCAAAGTCTCGTTTAAAGAGATTGAAGTTGAAGTTTTACTCGATGCATCAAACACTACGCGGAGCTTGGTGTTGCTACTATCAGGTCTCAGGACACATTGATGCGGAGTATAGTAATGGTGTCCTGGAGGAGTGCCTGGAAGCAATGACATGTTACCAAGGTTGAGATACTCTTTCATAAACTCCATATACATGTCATGCAGACATATACATGTCAAAAGCGGCGTTTTGCCGTCTCGAAAGAGGAACCCAAGACCTTGGGATTCACTTTAAACGGCAACTTTACTTCGAATCGACCCGACTCAAGCCTGCGTGATGTCTGCTTGAAGTTGCGTTCGCAAGCCAACTGTTCAGCTGTATGTACAGCCTTCGACTTCTCTGGGACATGTTCCAATTCCCAAAAGCGCTCCACCAGAGAGTCGAGAGAACACGTATCGCTACCAACAACGTTATTGCATACAACATCCTGTTTTGATGCAGTATATTTTCCCGAAACAATCAAGCCCAACAACGTTTTTTGATGGATGTTCCGAACTTGGCTTTATTTGGCCCACACATATCAATTCGAAGAAGGTTTCTGCCCCTAGCAGTAAGTCGACCTTAGCAGGCTTGAAAAAATGTGGGTCTGCCAGCTCAAGGTTTGCTGGAATATTCCACTGGGCGAAATTTACTACATGGTCGGGTTGGTATGTGGAGATTGAACGTAATACCCAAAAATCGGTTGAAAATTTATGAGCGTTGACACGAGATTGGATGGACGTGTGAACCTTGTTCTTTACGACGGACGAACTTTATCCAACAGTTGTGATACTAATGCATGACTCGTCACGGTGCAGTCTTAGGCGCTGTGCGAGATCCTCGGAAATAAAATTTATCTGGGAGCCGGAATCTAGCAGTGCCCTAGCATATTGGAACTGTCCGAACCGATCTTTCACCTTTACTACTGCCATCGCGAGAATCACTTGGTCAGTACTCGCCACATGACTCGAGTAGGCTGTTGGGTTTTCAGAAACTGAGGGCTGTTCTACAGGAGCCGAACCAGACGTACTTTGCTGTGACTCTACCCCGTATGGGGTACCCGGACGCACTCGACATTTTGCTGTCTTGCACTTCGTAATTGTATGACCTGGCTTCAAACAATTTATACACAAGCGAAGTTGCTTGGTGATATCAAAACGTTGAAGAACAGGAAGAGCACTAAACGCTTGACAACTGCTTATGATATGATTGCTCGCTGAACAATAGCTACTGTAGTGTTATCTTCGCTTATTACATTCGATACGATCAGTTTAGTTTCGATGATATTTATTGAATGAGTCTACAGTACAATTCTTAAAGTCTACTTAGCTTAAGGCAGCGCGGCTGCGCTGCCAGGAACGCCGGCAGCAGAGCGGCCGCCTTGTGTTTGTATATAACAACGTATATGTATATGCTCAGCGCTGTTGATAGCGGGGGGCGCGAGGGGAATCGTATGCGCTGTACTTTATGTATCGTCAAGCTATGAGAATATGCTGACGATACATTTATGTCGCTCGAGGCACAGCTTGGGTGATCGTATTATGTTTCACCCGAGCTATGTCTGGAACTTGTTTACGTAACTGCAACAAAGTGTTACAGTGTATACTCTTTAAGTATCGTTGGTACAGTGGGTACCAACTATGTGAGCATACTACAGTATATATGGATTATAAGAATTATAATTGATTAGAAAATGTTCTGAAAATTTACAATTGTTCATTTGTTTTTACAATATTCCTACCTATCGTTTTGTGTAGCTTTACGGGCTATACTATTAGTCGAGCAGAAAAGGTTCAGCACAACTTTACAATTTGTCATATATATATTTAATTTTTAAATTATTTAATTATTTAGTTGTCAGCCATGTAATATATGTATGTCCGTTCTCCTGCGTTAGCTGGTCGTCGCCGGTTTGGGAACGCTGACGCTCCTTCGATGGCGCAAGTGGCGGTGTGCCTCTCGCGCTTGTCGTTTCTCAGCTGCTGATGTCCTGGGCCTATGGGCTCAGGCGGGGACGGTGCCGGTCTTCGCACTGGTCGCTGGTATCATGCAGGTTGATTTGCATGTAACGCTGTAGAGAGGTCCAGGGCAGTCGTTCGGGCAAATGTCCGGCTTTCTTGGTAATGGCTTGGGAGATGGAGGTTTGGTTTTGATTGCTTCTTTTATTATTTGTATTTTAGCTGAGTGAGCTGCGGTTTTTGGGTGTCTGCTTTCGAGAGTTGTTTTTATAAAATCAAGCTCGGCCTGCAATTTGTGTGCAGTTGACCACGCGGGAGGCGGCGTTTTAGTGTATAATAGCCACTTAATGTGTGCTATTCTATTGTTTCATTTTTTTTTTATGCCTCCGCGTTTACCCATTACTCGCACTCTACTCACTAAGATATTTATATTTCTCGAAATTGTGTGTTTCCTCCTTCAATTTATCCGGCATCAATTGGTCCGAGATGGTTTCCTAGCTGTCCAGACTGCCCTTCCTGTGTCCTGCAATCTCCGGATTGCACGTCACGGTCGCCATTTAATATGTGTCTTTTACTCAAGAGGAACATGGCGATACTGCCAGGAGCCGGGCCAATCGCCTGGTCGTCTTCTTGAGGTATTTCCACGGTAACTGTTTCCCCGATTACCTCGGTTATTTCTGTAACGATTATAGTTACTGAAGTTACTGTTGTTACCCTAGGTATTATTGTAATTATTATTATTATTGTATCTGCCTCTGAATGAGTTACCATTCCGGTTACCTCTGTTTTGGCGGCAGTACAACACTGCATCACTTTTTCCTGTAGCGTCAGTGCATGTACCAACGAATTTTGTAATGACATCATTCATCGTGTTGAATGTGCCAGCCTGCATTATTAATTTTACTTTTTCTATTGAGCAATTTGTTGTCATTGCCTTAACATATATATATGTGCTATATTTGGTGGCCAGTTCTAGAGGAAGTCCATCTGTGATGTACATATGCTCCCTCTAAGCTTTAGTCATCTGTTCAACCTCTTTTGTGTACTGGTTGGCTGTTATGTTTCTTTGTTGGAGGTTCATCAGTTTTGCTGATAAAACCTCCACTGACTCGCCTTTGACATTAACTCTGAGTCTGGAGATTACCTGCGCTAAGGTATTTTCTTCTCCAATCAGGTTTCTAGCCGATCCCTTAAGTTTTGTTTTGTTTTCACAACCATTAACACAACATTTCAGCACCGTTATTTCACTTTAGTTAGTTTTGTTCACTTTCTTTCCGTTTCTTATTAGTTTTTGACTCACTATGGACCAAGTCCGTAGCTGTCACGGTCACCATGTAATATGGTTCCATATTTAATTTAACATTATTAATCTTTACTTGGAGCGTCTGCTCCGTCCTATCACGGTCGCCATGTAATTGGTTTCTTTTTCTATGAATAATGATATCCGGGGAGACATCCGTCTCTTTTGATTATAGTTTATTGAATGTCTTTACAGTAAAAATCTTAAAGTCTACTTAGCTGAAGGCAGCGGAGCGGCCGCCTTGTGCTTGTATATAACAACGTATATGTATATGCTCAGCGCTGCTGATAGCGGGGAGCGTGAGGGGGATCGTCTGCGCGTGGAATGTATGTATCGTCAAGCTATGAGAATATGCTGACGATATATTATTGTCGCTCGAGGCACAACTTGGGCGATCGTATTATGTTTCGCTCAAGTTGTGTCTGGGACTTTGTTTACGTAACTGCAACAAAGTGTTACTGACTTTGCACAGGAAAAGGAAGACTTCGTGTGTCCTTTGCCTATCTCTGATTTGCCTTTTCCCTTACTCCTTGTTGACTCTTCAGCTGCCAGATGCTGATAGCGCCGATTCAACTGGGATGCGCAATCGGACCACGACGGCAATTTGTCGTAATCCAATTGCTCTTGGAAGCGCGATTTTGTGGTATGATGTACTTTGGACATTGCTATGTGAATCAACATTGCACTATTTATGTCCTTCTCACTTCCTTACGACTGCAGAGAGGAGTAGAGGGCAGACACCGTGTCAATGAGGGACCTCAGGCATGAAGCAGAGGGTCTTGTTATTTGGGGAATGTCGAACAACTGCGAGATGGTGTCGAAAAAGATTAAACACTTATTGTCGTAAACATTTTTTAAGCTCTCCAGAGCCTTTTCATAATTGGTCTCAGAGATTTGGAACGCCTTCACTGTGCCCAATGCAGCATCAGTGAGACAAGCCAGCAGGCACCAAACTCTCAAGCAGGCTTATGAAGTTTTTAAATTCGGAATGTTTTCCACTAAACTTAGGCAAATTCATTTTTGGCAGGTGTGACGAATGACGCTGATCGCCGCGATCGTTCCTATGTGCTCGCTTACTCTCAGGTTCGTTTACTGCGGACATATACATAGCCCTCGTAGTAATACACACATCCTCGACCATTGACCTTAAATCGTTGCTGGGATTTAACGAATCCACATCTGCCTGAATGTCCATTAACTTGTCGCAATAATTTTCGATCACTGCACTTAATTTGAAGAGGGTCAAACGAAATTGTTTTTTTCTCAAAAGCCGTTTTCTGTCACCTTATGCCGTTCATCACCTTGTCGTGTTTCTGCATTGCGGTCAGTAACTTTTGGCTGAGCTTGGACCCTTACTTCCTTGGCCGCGAATTCCTTCTCTTGTTCACTCATTTTTGACACGATTACTCAAATTACTACAGTCGAAAGCTAATGCGCAGGTTTTCGCACGGTTCAAAAAAGCTGATATGAGGGTGAGTACGCTGTATTCAACGAACTGTTTTCAAACAAACACCAAAACAAAAAAAAAAGAAGTTCCTCAAAACTTTCTATTGGCGGGTTAAAACAGCGATAGCAACGTTACCGCGTTGCAGAATTATGATGCCAACGCACACAGCCGAAACCGCCAGAGTTTATTGTCCACAATTAATTACAAAAGCACCGACAACTGAAATGTCCAAAGACTATGTATCGGCTTTAATGGGTTAATGCGGCGACAGCAAGAGAGACGAGAAAAATTATGCTGTCAGCGCACACAACCAAACGCCGACAAACTATGTACAATTTGGCGCAACTATAGCGTTACCGAAGCCAATAGACCACCAAGAAGCGGTACTTGATAAAAGAGAATTGACAATAGGGGCAATGACCGTTCCGTTGCTTTTTATTAGCGAGTACAGTCGGACCTCAATATGATGTGCACTTTTTTATTGAGTTTCCACACATAAATAATTATTTAATATTTCTGGCTGTTCACTTCGGTTGATTTTATTTGGGTTATGTTTTATTAAATTGGTATTCCAATTCATGCAGTGCCAGAAAATGAGGCCACCGGCTATGATGCTATAATGGGCACACACAACTCACAAAATGGTGGCTTGATTGCACTCAATTTTTGGCACTAGAATACCTGTAGATTCGGCATTGAATTTTCCGAAGAACTTTCCTTAATGTGATGATTAACCAGATGTCGCAGACCAGCCAGCTAGAGCTTTATTCGCACAAAGACTAAAAACCAGTAACTTGTGCCGAGACGACGAAAGTGCACTCTTAACTGTTTTTGTCTTGCGAATTTCCACGAAAATGCTGATAACCGATGTCCCTGCTTGGGCGCCAATGAAAAATCCATTTAATGCACTGGTCGCAGCCAGCGATGCCAACGGTCGCCCCAGTCCAGAAGGGAGCCGATCGAACATGCTGGGAGATGGCGTAACAGCGACTGAGCGTAACAATCCATCATAACTCTTATACTATGCTATTCTATGCTATACTATGCTATGCTATGCTATTTTGCTGCTGCTGCTCCAACACTACCTGTTCATAATGTAAATGTTGTGGACAGTTACTTTTACTCCAATGCTGTGGAGAAAACCAGAAATTCACGGCTCTGAATGTTTCTTTTGTTCATTCAAAATAACTGGAATCGGGAGATCCATGAAATGGGGATGCCCGAAACAATCTGGTCAAGGCGTTACGCTTCCTGCTCCTCCCTTAGAGGAAATACCGCCACTAAAACGCAAAAAATAGGAGATGTCGTCTTCGTCGCATGGAACAACAGATTCATGTAATGACCAATCGGGAGTATATAAACATTGCAAGCCTCTTTCAAAGGAACAATTGAACGATTTGGTGACGATCCTGGATCTTCCTAAAAGTAGAGCCGAGATTCTTGGATCTTTTTTAAGGCATGCCCTTTTATTGAAGGAATATGTCCAAATAACTCATTTCCGGACGCGTCATTTGGATCACGCACAATTTTATATGACGAAGGATGACATGTGCGTATGCCAAGACACTTTCGGACTCTTCAAGCAACTAGGTGAAGGTTACGGCCTAAAAGATTTCAGGTTATTTGTTGACAGCATTAAGGAAAGTTTAAAGGCTGTTTTGTTACACAATGGAAACCAAAAGCCGTCTGTTCCCATCGCCCATGCTGTTAATATGAAGGAAACAGTGGCTAACTTGTTTGAACATATGACATATAAAGAACACCAGTGGAAGGTCGCGTGTTAATAAAAAGTCGTAGCCATGATGACGGGACTGCAAGGTTACACAAAATACTGCTGCTTTCTGTGCCTATAGGATAGTAAAGCTAGAACTGAGCATTACTCAAGAAAACTCTGGCCAAAACGGGAGGAAAATACTTTGCAAAATACAACATACAAAATGATGCTCTCGTGAAGTTTTCACGTGTAATTTTACCACCATTGCACATTAAGCTAGGACTAATGAAAAATTTTGTAAAAGCACTGAATAAGGAAGCTGAATCAATGAGATGCCTAAGAACTGTTTTTCCTCGTCTGTCGCTGGCAAAAGTGAAAGAAGGAGTATTTCATGGTCCCCAAATAAAAAAAACTGCTTAAAGAAGAAATAATTCTAAGTATTTTATCTAGGAATGAAAAAGCAGCCTGGAACCCATTTAGACCCATAGCAACCAACTTTCTTGGTAACAGCAAATCTGATGATTATATTAAAATCGTCCAAGACTTAATAATTAATTTGAGCTAACATGTCACTAAAAATCCATTTCCTGCACTCCCACCTAGATTTTTACCGACAAACCTAGGGGACGTTAGTGATGAACATGGAGACAGATTTCACCAACAATTAAAAGCTATGGAACGACGGTATCAAGGTGTTTGGATTGAGAATATGTTGGGCGACTATGTGTGGACTCTCATAAGGAAATCTGATTCGAATGACAGAGGAAGACAGCCACAAAACTTAAATCATTTTAAGAACAGTAACAAGCAGTAGAAAACCAAATTTATCATATACGTTTAAAAACTTGTAGCAACATAACACCACATAAAAAACGAAATACACAACGAAAAAAAGTAACTGTCAACAACATATAATGCCAAAGGAACACGTTCAGGTATCAAAAATTAAACCCCTTTTCGTTTGCTTTGTTCCCAATCGGCAGTTGGGCCCGCAACCTTCCCAAAAGTATTTTTTGTCTATTTTTGTCATGTTTTTATGTTTGGTTAATTATAGCTCCACCATCTCTCCATAGATTTTAATAAACAATACCTTAAACGACGGCCAATTAATGCGTCTATTTTAAACTAAAAATGCATGCCAAGAAATTTGTTTGTTCGACTTTTCCTGAGTTTTTAAAGTTAAAATTTCGGGAAAATATAACGCATAAAAATGATGAAATTTAAATTTGAAAGCTTTATATATTTCAGGAGCTAAGCTGAAGTGTCTGGTCAGATTTATAGCTGTCAGCTTTTCAGAACTGCAAAGTTCTCTGCAACCAGATATAAGATACTTAAGTTATGCGAATAATAGAAGCACTACCTCTTCAAAAAAAACATGACAAAATACCAGATTTTAAAAATTCTTAAAAAAGAAAACTAAAGTATACAAAAAAAACATAATGCTATGTATAAATTTTTATGTCCCGAAATCTATCAGAAAAAGTAATTTGGGCCACAGAGGAAATTTCGTGTTGACTAGTGTAATCAGACGCATTTCCTTGCCAATAAAATATTGGGGATATATCCTGGACTGGGGAAGAGCGACCCTAGCCGAAGAAGTGAATTTCATTAACTTTACACAAAACCAAACAGCTGTTTCAGCAGTATACCCGCAGTGCACACCTCTGGTCACACCACTGGCCGCTAGAAAAATGTATGGCATGTATTTTGTAACAGTCCTAGGCATATAGGCCATTTTCACAGGCGATCCACCATCCATTTCGGGGACGGTCCGTAAGGTTTTGCCGCTCCGAAAATTTCCCAGTTATTTTACCATCCATCTGTGATGTTCCATAGACGCAACCATAAATATTTTACATTCCCAACGAAAAAGTACAATTCACAACGAAAATGTAAAGAAGATCGAAAAACTGTTTGCTAGCAAACAGATGCCAGTGGTGTGACCAGAGGTGTGCACTGCATTCCGAACGGTTACACTGCTCAGACCGCTGCTTGGTTTTGTTTAAAGTTAACAAAATGCACTTCTTCGGCTGGGGCCGCTCTTCCCCAGCCATATCCTGGGCTCCCCAATATTTTATTGGCAAGGTAATGTGTCTGACTATCAGTAACAGCAGATGGCGACGCCTCCCGTTCCGGACACCGTGAAGACAAACTGTTTTGAAAACAATATTTGTTTTATATTTATGAAAATTAATAAAAATAATAAATTATTTAATCCATATAATTGTCCTTTATATAATGATGCATTAATTAGATTCTATTTGTCTTCATTATTAAAATATTTCATTTGGTTTTTTGTTCTCTTATTGCAATGTTTGCTTCGTGTTAATATCCTTTTCGAGGTGGGTCGAAACATAAAAAAAAACAAGCAAATACTTCTGATTCTTTTCCAGTATATACCGACCTTTTGTTTTTTGATCTGAGTACTGCCTTCCGTACAGAGCCTAGAAAACAGTTTTTGCCGTAAAAAATTTCTTATCGGTTTCATACGAATATCAACCCTGATTCTGTTCGCTAGGTGTTTTTTTCGATCTGAGTACTAGGCTTAAACAATGTCAGATAGGAAAATAGGAAAAGGCAATAACAAACCATTTGATATGTCTGAATTCTCGCAAGCAAAACAATTCGGAAATGAGATAGTTTGTTACAGCGTGTGCAAAACTCATTCAGGGTATTGCACATGCTGTTGGCTAACAGCCTTCCGACTGTTCTGTACTCAGAAAAAGAGCCCAAAGTATACAATGCTATGACTATACATAACTTCCCTTAAAAACGCCTCGTTGTTTTCGGGTACATCATTCTCCCAATATGTACAAAACCGCGTCTCAAAAGAGATAGAATATATATTTGTATGTAAAACATTGATTGGATTTAGTAGAAGCAGTCAAAAAATACTACGAATTAGGCGATGGCTACGAACACGTATTTGAACTAAAAGATGTATCTTGTCTGAAGACTAGACTTAACAGCTTTCAATTTAAGTGTAGCGGAATACGACCATATGATCGTCGATACATACGATGTATGTATCGTATCGACTTCATAAAAATAAAATACCAACAGCAACACCGGCGTTTTGGAAGACATTTGATATGATTTTGCAACTAAAAACAAAACTAGGAGAGTCCACTCAATTCTAGCTCAAGCGCAAATGACTGCGTTTGTGCAATTGCTGGTATTGAAAGTGTTGTAATTTTTACTGCTGCTTTATGAATTATAACAACAGTTCGCCCTCTCCATTATGAGCAAAGTTGATCTAGTGCGTGGGGTACTACACAATCTCATTATCGAGTCGCAGTAAGTAAATTGAATCTCACCGAGCGCACATCTGCCAATTGCGCAATTTATCTCAAAGTATTTTCTGAATTCCAAAACAATTTTTTTTATAGAACTCCATACACGCCAGACATCATTGTGAGACATTTTCGTGCCACACACGAGCGGCGTCTCTCATCTAATGAGCTTCTGCATTTACTGGCAACCATTAGCCAAAAGCGTCCAAACTTTCAAACAGTGATCACAGAGGTCACCCAATTACTTAAGTCGTCAGTATTCAATATAATTCCTTGGGAGTCTAGGTTTTCACATTCCCTTTCTTTCAGGAAGGATCCTATGTACGCTCTGCTTGTGTTCGTTGAGCGATTTAGCTGCGAGGATTTCGCTGGTAGCCACTTAAAGATTGAAATGCCATCACCAACCATTCAGAGCAGTACTGGCTCTCCGGTCAGTGCCTCGTCTTCGCTGAGCTTGGTTCAATGTGCGTCGACTGACAATAGTGCAATACATACATTGTCGCAAAGCATTCCCACATCGACTCCAATGAATTATCGTAGAATCGAAAGTTTCCCAGTCCTCTCCACTGGGGGATTATTTGGACGATGCAACCAGAATCTAAAACTGTACCATCAGAAGCAGAAAAAGGATCCAGAGCGCGCCGATTTGAGTGTGGTTAGAGCGAACTATCTAAATCTTCTCTAGATTCTAATCAAAATCCATATATTTTGAATTCAGATCAAAGAGCGCGTGCTGATGGCAGTTTCCAGCAGTTCTCTGAGTAGCTACCGTCCGCCTGGAAGCACAGAAGTTGGTTCGACGAAGTCATCCGTCAGCATAAAGCCTAGTAGCTGCCTTCTAACGGCGGTGACATGCTTGCCGGATGAGTATCGCACGAACATGCTCTGGGATTACTGCAAAGTAGACGGAAACAACATGGTGCAGCCGGAGCTTGGTGCCCTGCCTTTGGAAAGCCAGCAGAAAGTCCTTCTAAGAGAGCTGCTCCATTGTCTGTGTGGCACCCGAGGAAACTTTATTGTCCCTTTGCCGCCAGATGTGAACAGTGCAGGCATTGCCAAATATGAAACAAATTTCACTATCCATGCGCACCTGGATAAATCGCTTACAGAGCTTCTGCAGGATATCCTTCCCCTGGCATCGTACTTTATAGGCATCCAAAAGATGATGGCGGCCACTGATGGCCACGGGCAGGTCATTAACTCTCTTAATGCGGCTCTTCAAGATCTAACCCACGATTTCTACGTAAGTGTATGCAGTACGAAATCTTTTCACACCACAAAAAAATGATATTTCATGGATTATATCTTTAGTTTCTGGTTGTACAATCTGAGCAGGAACTGCAGCAGCAGCAGTTGACGGTTCAGAAGCTTTTGTACTACTTAAAGCCGACCATCTGGGTGATGGAGGAGATATGGACGACTTTGGTGGATGTGCAACTAAAAAAGTTCCAGGGGGCTGCAGTGCTCACGCATCTACACGGGCGGATAAAGCGGCTGGAGGGGGACAGGGCGGCCCAGCAGATAATGATAAATTTGACGCATCAGGCAGCCGAGCCGTACATGCGAATGCTGCAACTTTGGATTCAAAAAGGAGTTATTGTTGACCGCAACCATGAGTTTCTGGTGGAGGACAACGAGGTCGTCCACCAAGGCGAGCTGCCCGAACACTATTCGGACGATTATTGGGAAAAGCGCTACACAGTGCGTCGCGATCGGATCCCTTCCTTCCTGGACAAGTACTCTGACAAGATACTGCGAACCGGCAAGTACTTAAATGTGATCCGACAGTGCGGAAAGCGAGTGATGCCCACTCAGCAAATGGAGCTCCAGCTTGATCCGACCAACGAGCGACACGTGTATGTAATCAACGACGCCTACTACTTTGCCGCCCGCATGCTGCTTGACGTACTACTCACGGAAAACGACCTTATGGGGCATCTGCAGTCAGTAAAAAACTATTTGTTGCTGAACCAGGGCGACTTCACCATGCAATTTATGGACGCCTGTGAGGACGAGCTATCTAAGAATGTAGACCTGGTGCTGCCCATGACCCTGGAGAATCTGCTCGGTCTAACATTAAGACTTTCTTCGGCCCGCAATGATCCCTACAAAGATGACCTGCACTGCGAGCTTCTCACCTACGACCTGGTTACTCAGATGTCAAAGATCATGAATCAAAAGGAAGAATACTGGCAGTCGCAGGACCGCCTAGACCTCAGTGGTCTCGAGTGCTTCGCCTTCACCTACGAGGTCAAGTGGCCTGTCTCGCTCGTCCTTAACCACATCGCTATTTCAAAGTACCAGATGCTGTTTCGTCAGCTCTTCTTTTGCAAGCACGTCGAGCGTCAGCTTTGCAAGTAAGTATAAAACTTCGACATTCCTTCCCTTCTTAGTCCTTGTTATTTGTTTTTGTTATTTCTTGCAGGATTTGGAAAGAGAACTCTATAGCTAAAAAGTTCTCGCCGCAGGCCGCTGAGCTGTATCGGTCGGCGTTCATTCTGCGCCAGCGCATGATGAATGCCATACAGAACCTGGAGTACTATATGATGATCGAGATCATAGAACCCAATTGGCAGATATTTATCGAGAAGATGAAAAAGGTCGAGAACGTGGACAATGTACTAAGTCTGCATCAAGACTTCCTGGACTCGTGTCTAAAGAACTGCATGCTGACTGAGTCCTCGCATTTAAATCGAGCCATATTTAAGTTGTGCAAGATCTGTCTTAAGTTTTGTGACTTTATCCAGGTGAGACTGTTATTGAAATCATTTATAAATTAGTATATACCTTTGAGTTCTTCCCGTAAATAACTGTCTTTTCCTGTCTATATATGTTCTGCTTCTCTCCTAATTTGTCTCTTTCTCTTGCTTTTTCATCTGCCTACTATAAACAAAAACTGAATATAAACCAAACACGCTTGATTCGACCTCAAAGTGCTCGCAGAGTTTTTTTCTCGACGCTGAGCTTAAGTCAATGGTCTCTGATAGCAGTGACGACAATATGGATAACTCCGACGTTGATCAGGGAGACTCGAATCGGGCACAGGTATTACGTATTTATGGCTATGGAAAGCTGCTTTAACTTCTGCTTGCATTTTCCATCTCTTAAATTGTGATTTTTTATACCCGTACTCAAAAAAGAGTTAAGGGGTATATTAGATATATGTATGTATATGTATATGTATGTAACGCAGAGAAGGAAACGTTTCCGACCCCAAAAAGTATATATATATTCTTGATCAGCATCAATAGTCGAGTCGATATAGCCATGTCTGTCTGTCCGTCCGTCCGTCCGGCTTGTTGAGCGCCTGGATCTCAGAGATTATAAGAGTTAGGGTAACCAAATTTGGTTCCCAGACTCATGTGATATCACACTGCTACAAGTATATTTCAAAATTTCGCCCCGCCCCTTTCCGCCCCCACAAAGGACGAAAATCTGTGGCAGGCATAATTTTAAAGATACGATATAACTAAAAACGCAGTATCGTAGAGAATGACCATATCTACCAGACTGCCGAATCTGAATCAGATCGGATCATAATTATAGCCAAAATGCAGAAATTAATTTTCAGTTGGTTCTTACGCCTACTTCAGCCAGAGGCCCGCTACCTGTCTCTTTCTCGCTCGCACACTCTGCCGCGTTCAGTGCGCGAACAACCCCTAGCGGAGGCGATGTAGAATATGAATGGTACATCTATAATCTACATGTTAAATTTAAAATATACATTGTAAATGTAGATGTAGATAACAGATGTAGCAAAAAAATGTAAAATGTTAAATTTTTTTTAATTTTAAAATTCTAAAAAATCATAAGCTCAAAAATGTATATACTGACTGAGTACGGGTATAAGTAGTACGGGTCGCGTCCCCAGAAGCGACTCACGCGTTCCTTCTCGTTTTTTTTTTTTATATAATATGAACCTCAGCCGAAACGAAATTATTTATTTTCTATAATTCATTTTAATTTAGATTGGTCTCGTGTGGTCGTACTACTGTATGTAATTGTGAAAATAATGTGTCCATGATTGTTAGAAGAGATATAAAGAGGGTGCCTGCGCTAATATATATACAATAAGAATTCCCGATTTCAAAAGTAGGTTTTTAAAAAGATGTTTTATTTAACCGAACTTATATATTAGAACATAGGATGTGATAATAAATTCCCCAAATCAATGTTAGAAAGTCTCAAACGGAACTGTCTTCATGTTCTCGAGTAATTGATCTCGAGACCTCTGTTGGGAAGCTTAAAGCTTATCTCCTTAAGCTTTTGGCTTCGGCTGATATTTCGTCTTCGCAATTGAGTGATGATGGATTCGGCTGAGAGAGTCGAAGCTTCGGTTGCGAGAGGCGTGGTTTGGTGAGAGCGGCTTATAAGCGATGCATTGGCCTATGTGTGGGAGGTTTGGGAGATGCGTCGGCTTGGATGAAACAGGCAGCCGCAGCTGGTGATTGGTGTCAGCTTTCATCTTAAGAACTCACTTGTTGACAAGAGTTCTCCCTTCTATTGGAGTGTGGGACTGATTCTGAATTAGTCATATGATGGAGTGTGGGAACGAGCTGATAACGTATTGGTCAGCGACGTTCTATTGCATTCCAGAGTTTTGGGTTGCATGGGACTTCCTGTTGATTTCGGTATGGACGAATCATGCGTTGTTTATGCAGGTGTTGGAGTATCTTCTCATATGTTTATCTTATTTCATATAGATGCGAATACATGGGTGTAAGGGTGAGTGCTGGGCATATGCATAACGTGTATAAGTGTGGGTGTGGTTATGAATATGTCAAGTGCTTAACGTATACTTAGTGCGTATGTGGTTGTAGGGCATTATGGATATGTTACTCCCCCGGCACTTCTTATAAGCCTGTTTTCAGGTTTTCACTTCAGGGTATAGGGAGGGAATTTCATTTATAACTCTTGGGGTACTTTTTTCTTCTCCTTTTTCTTCCTCTTCCTAAGGTTTTACATATTTAATAGTTATATTTTTAGGTATTTTCTTAAATTTAACAATTAGAAACCCAATTATGCTTATTATTGATAAAATGAACATAATTATTATAACGATCTGCAATATATTACTATATTTTGTTTGTTCTATAATTATTTCTTTTGTCTGTACATAAGACAATGGTTCCAATCTAGTTATTTTATTACTCACATAGATATTTTGTGTGAAATCTAGCATTGAATTAGTTATTGCGAATTCGTTTAATTGGGTTGAACAGTTGTAAATCTTAATTATGTTATTTCCTTCGATTGCTATTTCTTTGTCTAAACACTTTTGGTTTAATTTGGATTTTGGAAGGTTCCATGTTAACAATATATTTGGTTCAACGTAATTAAATTGGAAATTCTTAAATGTTTTTGTATATGGACATTTAGTGGGTTTTTGTTTTAAAATCCTTTTGAAACAATTGTCTCCTATTATTTGCTTAGTTTCTTTGCTATATATTTTGTCTTCGTAACTATAATATTTATCGAATATTAATTCTGTTAAAATATTATTTTGATTATCTGGATATGGGACAATTTTGTATACTGGGACATAAGCGATTTCGCTCGGAATTTTGGAGATTATATAGATTTTATTTGTATCAACTTTTAACCATGTAGAAGTTGTAATATTTAATAATTTCTCAGAATTTATGTGCTTCAGGTAATCTTGTTTTAGTAGTTTTGGGTTAAAAATACCAAGTCTAGTTAGTTGCATTCCCATTTCTATATCCTCTATGTATTCTGTGAAATGTTGTAGGTTGAAAATTAAAATTTCTAATTGTTGATTTTTGTTGTTTTCTTCGTTTAATTGGTTTATTATCTCAATTCCATGGTTTACTACTTCTATAACAAAATTTAGTTCATTTGTTTGGATACTATGGATGGCGAGATTTTCTATTCTCTGTTCTAATTCTTTCCTATCTTCTTGATCTAATGTGCCAAATAAGTATTTATAGGCGGTACCTACGATATTTATTAGGCCTCTCCTGTTGCGTTTAGCAATTTTTAAGCCATTTATTTCCCTATTTAATTTATCTACTAGGTATTTTACTTGAATTACTTATTGAAATTTGTTAGTCATTACTAGAAGGTTTTGATAGGTTTCTTCGGTTTTTGTTACATTAACTATTAAGTAATGGTACTCATAGTTAATCGGGAGATCGATTGATCCCGTTTTAAATATGAGGTATCTGTTTCTGGATTCAATCGGATTTATTTCAATATTTTTTCCTTCTATTGTAAGGACCATTAATGTCATGAGGACGATTGTGATTATATGTGTATATTATCAGTTCAAATTTTGTGTATTTGTTTTCGAGGTCATTCTCACTGGATATGATCCTCAATTTCCTCAATTGATCCTCAATCCTCCATTTCATTAAAGACTTTTAGTATCGCCCTTTTGGTTTCTAACCAGTCGCGACTGTTCACTTCTATTAGTGTAGCGAATTTTGAGTATACATCACTACATGATAGGAACTGTTGGTTACCTATCAGATAGAAGTCCATTACGTAACGTTCTCGGATGTTTAAGACTTCCGGTGTTACTTCAAATGACAACTTGGTGTTTCTATGCTCAGTCTTGGCAATATTACACGTTGTGCATTCGTTTATTATATTTTGTATACATTTTTGGTGGTCAGGGTAGTAGTATTTTCCCTTAAACCAATTGATTTTCTCTATTTCAGGGTGAAGTGGTTCTTTATGGTTTTTAATTATCAATTCTTTGAATTCCGTGTAATTTGGTATTTCTATGAGTTTTGTACTTGATTTCATAACTTTTGTGAAATTGTTTGGACTGATAATTTTCAAATACGCTTGTTGGAAAGTTGGGAAATCAGTCTCGTTATGGAAATATAATGCACTCTTTTTGGTACATAGATATTCCTTAATGAGTTCTTTAGCCAAGGTGTTAGTCATTTCCTTGTATGTGATTTTGATAATCAATTTATGGAAGTAGTGTTGTGTAGTTACTTTATTTTCATCTCCCTTTATGAACTCAATCTGGCGATTGAAATAGTTTATTGGTCGTTCCGTAATGGGAATATGATTGAGATTGTCTTCTTGCGCACTGTGTATTGTGGCGCCTGCACTATCAGAGACTTCTCCGAGAAGGTTTTCGTTAACTTTAACTCGGGAAAGGTTGGTTTACATGGTTTTCTTTGCCAGGTAGATATTTGATTTTGTCGTTTATTTTGATCTTTCACCTTTGTAGTTTCATGTTTGGTTCTTTGAGGTTGTTAAACCATACTAAAAGCTTATGGTCGCTAAGTATTTCGAATGTTCTTCCGAACAAGTATGATCGGGCTTAGTAGCCCAAACAATTGCTAACAATTCTTTGTCGATAGCGGAATAGTTGATCTCATGTTCGTTCAGCGTTCGGCTGGCGTAGCAGATCGGCTTATGGTCTTGCGATAGGACTGCACCTATAGCCATGTTACTAGCGTCGGTAGTAACAGAAAACATTTTGTTAAAGTCTGGATACACGAGAATGGGTCTGAGGTGATGAGTATTTTTAGTCTCTCGCATGCCTCGACATATTTCTCTTCTTTAGGATTTATTATTGCTCGTTTCTTTAATTTGAGCGTCATAGGCTTGGCTATGTTAGCGAAATTAGGAATGAACTTCCTATAAAATCCGCATAGTCCTAAGAATGACTTGATATGTTTTGTGGTTTCGGGGATGGGAAACCCTGTGATGGCTGTTATCTTGTTGGGATTTGGTACTATTCCTTCGGGTGTGACTATATGACCTAGGAACTCAGTTTCTTTCTTCAGAAACTAACACTTATCCATTTGTAGCTTGAGGTTTGCGTCTCTCAGCTTGCCAAAGACTTTTCTTAGTGACAAAAGGTGTTGGTCCAATGAAGTGGAGAAAATTATTATGTCATCTAAGTACTCCAAACAGTCGGTGAAAATTAAGTCGTTCATGCATCTTTGGAATGTGGCAGGGGCGTTGGTTAGCCCGAATGGCATTCGAGTATACTCGTAATGACCATGTTTGGAACAAAAGGCCGTTTTCGCGATCGAATTGGGTTCCATTGGGATTTGATG